TTTTAAATTCTACAGGTAAAGGAAACGGTGTAAATGTATATGTGATTGATACCGGCATCAACCCAACCCACACAGAATTTGGTGGCCGAGCCGCTGTCGCCTACGACGCCACTGGTGGCAATGTAAGATAAAGTTCAGACTCTGACTACTACTACTACTACTACTACTACTACTACTACTACTACTACTACTACTACTACTACTACTACTGCTGCTGCTACTACTACTACTACTGCTGCTGCTGCTGCTGCTGCTGCTGCTGCTGCTGCTGCTGCTGCTGCTGCTGCTGCTACTACTACTACTACCACTACTACTACTACTACTATACTACTAGACTACCGTTCTCCTACTACTACTAGCCTATACAACTAATATGATGATAATTATTACTACAATTTTTAATACTATTTTTATTCATTTATTATTATTATTAGCATTATTATTTTCATTATTATTATTATTATTATTATTATTATTATTATTATCATTATTATTATTATTATTATTATTATTATTATTATTATTATTATTATTAAAAGGATAACAATATTAATCGTTACTATTGGTGTTTTATCACTAGTCATACTAACATGATCAGGCAAATGTTTGATAAACGTTTATTTGCAGGGAATTGATTGCAATGGCCATGGAACTCACTGTGCTGGAACTATTGCTGGCTATAACTATGGCGTTGCCAAAGAGGCCAACATCTTTGGTGTCAGAGTTTTTGGATGCTCCGGTGGCTCTTCTACATCCACGATCATTGACGGTAAGATTTCTTCTCCAATTTTCAATATTTATACATTATGAACAGTTATCTGTATTTAATATTCAATCATACACTTAATGTTAATTATGAATATTCATGTCAATGCCGTAGCCAGGTCCACCCTGATGTTGTCCCGCACTACTGGTGGCGGGACAACATCAGGATGGACCCAAGTACTTTACGCTTAAATTAAAAAAATGTGGACCCATTATTTTTAAAGTTGACCCATTTTACGTAACAATATGAAAAATCTGGACCCATTTCTTAAAAATTGACCCATTTTATGCCAAATATGAGAAATCTGGACCCATTTTTTTAAAAGTGGACCCATTTTTTAAAAGTTGGACCCATTTTTTGTGGACCCAATAGAAAATATGTGTGGGACTATCCCAAGTGTCCCAATAGCTGGCTACGGCATTGTTTAACTGTAAAATTACGCTTTTTATGGGTAACAAATTCTGTAAAGATTGTTTGAAGGAGGTATAGAGAAGATGAATAATTTTAAACTTTTAATTAAATTTTTTAACATTTATCTTACTGCTGTATATTTTTAATCTCATTGCATTTATTTTGTATAACTTCGTTTGTTTAAGTAGTTAAGGCCTACATATTTTCCATTATATCAAAAGTGTTTCAAAGAAATGTATTTATTAATTGATTTATTTATTTTGATTGCTTTATTGATCCTTAAATTGAATACAATATTGAATGACTTCATTCACAATAGGAATCAACTATGTGTACTGGTATG